CCTCAGCAGCGTACTTTGTAGATCTGCCTGTTCTGCTCCCCACTCTGTCTCTGGTGAAGCCTCTCGCTGTCCCTGAGCCTCTGGCCTGTACCCCAGTTCTGTATGCACAAATAAATAAAAATCTTAAAAAAAAAAAAAAAGAACAGACAGTACAGTTTCCTTCTCTGTATGGAAATCATTAAAAAGGAAGTTTGCAGGAGTCAAGTGAGCTACTTTCCTGCCCTTCTCCCCATGGAGTACCATGAAAAAGAAGCTCACTCAGTCCTGGAGAGCTGTTTATTTGGCAATTAACAAAACACAAAGGGGTCTCCTAAAAATAAGTGATAGCTGCTCCTAACCACCCATTAGCTCATTTTTTGGGCTTTTACTATTTTTACACTTTGTCTGAAAACAAACACCTCCCACAGTTTTTCCACTCAGAAATGTCAATCAGGACTCAAGTTCGAAATGTGAATGGCATGAAGACAGGAGACTCACATTATTTGCAGTTTTATAAATATGGATAGTTTTGATTAGATGTTATTAGAAAAATCAAAACAATGTTGACTCCACATGCTCTATACTAAATTTAAACCAAGCAGGGTCTGGCATGAACCATCAGCAGTGGAAACACTACTGGGCCTTGTGCAGCGAACACTGATAGGAACTAGAGACCACAGGCAGGGGTCTCAGCTCATGCTCACAGAAGAGTGGGGAGCCAGACTAGTACCCCATCTACAAACTGTTATGCTGTGGACTTTATTTCACAGGGCACTTCATGGAACAGAAAGGATAGTCCTTTGACTCCCTTTTAAAGGGGCTCAAAGTTCAAAACACACCATTAGTTCTACCACTAAATGCATTAATGTACCACCTAAGTGTAACATCTCCTGCTTCAATTTCCCACCTCCAGGTTAATAGATCATAGAGCCCTTCAACAATACCAAATTTTGTCATCATAATTTCCTCCATGATGCCCTGGTATTTGCCAACATTACAGTCAACACAGCAGATGTTCCACTTATTGTAAAATGGCACTTTTTGGGGCCATTGTGCATAGTGAGACCAAACCCAAAAACCCAGGTAAGGCATAAACTTTTATTCAAAATAAAGTTGTAATTTTTTCTTCAAATTATTTTTAAGTCACTAAGTATTTGATTA